CCAGCTCTAGAACCCAGCGCCCCAGACCCATGGGGTGCTGGTTAAGACAGGCCATGGCAGGAAGGTCTCCACTCTAGGGATACACAGGGCATGAAGGCTTGGCTAGATTGAAGCCACCTTCAGGCCTCCTGCAGGTTACCCCTACAGGGGATATGACCCTGTTGGGAGGGCACCTAAGACACCCCCCTGCAGATTGGTCATAGGCCTCTGGCAAGGCACCCAGGCACTAGCCGGGGGCTTGAAGTGAGACCATGGATCTCCCCTTCCCTGCCTGTGTGCACAATGACCGCTTCTACTGAGCCTCTCCCTCAACAGTGACCCTGGGCACCTGAGTGTCATCTGGACTTTCCCATGGGGGCTGGAACTGGGCCACAGGCCTTGCACTGGAGACAGCCTGCAAAGCCCTAGTCCATATGGGGTTGGGGGATTGCCTCTTCAGGAGCTGGGAAGAGAACTGTATTCTCACTTTCTTCTCTCCTAGTGAGAAGAGCCTCCCAGAGCCAAGCCTGGGGGGAGGAGCCCCTGAGCCTGGTGACAGCTGAGGGGCCTGTGGACTTCCAGGCTGGCCAAGAAGCAGAGGATGACCTTGCCCAGGAAGGTAATGGAGCAGGCCCTGGGGGTGAAATGGGACTATGGCACCCACCTGCCTCATGGGTGGGTGTTCATTAAACTGGGGGGTTGAGTATTCTGGGAATGGGGGGGCCAGTTCAGAACCTCTCAGGTCCCCTCTCCTGGAGGGGGGGGTGATGAGGATCCATGGAAGGAGAGGCTTGTCCCTCCCTCCATCCAGTGGTGAGGCAGCTGAGCCAGGGAGGAGGCACAAAACAGCCCCCAGGCTGCTGGTGGCACCATGAGGCAGTGCTTAAACCTGACCAGAGATGTGAGGAGCCCCTCACTTCCAGTCAGGGCCTAGTGTAAAGCCACTTCACGCTTCAGCAGCTCCTGAGCAGCCAGTCACCCCTGCCCTGGAGACTATCTGAGGGAGCCCCTCAAAGCCAGTGCACCTCCTTTGGCAGAGATGGCTGAGCTCTGCCAAGCCTTGGCAGGCCTAGTGTGGAATGGAAGGGGGCTGTGGGGGGTGAGGCCCCTGCAGGGCAGGGGGAGGACTAGGGCAGGATCTGGCAGTGACCACCTGAGCACTGATGTCTGGCTTGCTGTGTCCTTGCTCCTAACCAGCTCCTCCCTCCACAGGTTCCCATGGACTCAGGCCCCTGGTGGAGTGGGGAGAGGTGCTGGTGTCCCTGGCAGGGGCTGTTGCTGCTCTCTCGGTTGCTGTTGTGGTGGCTCTGGGCCTGAGGAAGCACTGGGGCAGGTGGGGACATGCCAGGGGGACCGCAAGTGCCTAAGGAATAAACCAATCAAGTGAATGATGCCTCCTGTCATTACTGATGGTGCAGAGTCTGCTCTGCAGTGTGGGTCTGCCATTGTGCACTGGGGAGGGTGAGAAGCACAGAATCCAGAGGGAATCAAGGCACTGGGGACCCATAGCACTGCGCAGTCCTGGCTCCTCACACCAAGAGGCAGCTCAAGGGTGCAGGCCTTGCTGATGAGGGGAGTGGTGCAGAGGGGACCTGTAGGGCTGGTAGCAGCTAGTGATTAAGGGAGGCAAATGCCCTGCACAAGAAAGCAAAGACCCATAGGGAGAGAAGGGTGGCATCTTGCCTGCTAAAGCAGCTGGTTCCAGAGCTCTGCTGCTGAATCTCCAGTTCCCTGGGCTCAGCAGGCCCCCCTGTGCCTGGCAGCTTGGAGGGTGGCAGAGCTGGGACCAGATTCCTGCATGCTGGTGTCTGCAACCAGCTAGACAGCCTTGGCCTGGTGCCCTCAGGACATGTCTTCCCTCCATAGAACACACTAATCAGCTGTTACATGGGGAAGGTTAATGGCCAGGGCACTCTGGTGGAAATTAAACCCTCCACCTACAGGAAGGCAAACAGGGGCTGCTGTGCTGGTAGAGTCAGGGACCAACTCCAATTTGTCCAGCTCTTCCTGCTGGCAGGGAAAACACTAGGTCAAAGACCCAGCAGGCATGGGGCTGGTCTTACTGCTCTGAGCCACATTCTGCTGTTGTGATTGCCACTATTGGAACAAGTGGACTCTGTCCCTCCCTATGGGGTGGAGGGGATGTGTGCTCTGGCCTCTCAGCTATGGGTCTATGCTGGGCCCAGTCCAGGGAAAGGGTGTTTCTACCAAAAGATAGACCCTTGTGCAGAGGGTCTGTGGTGGTAACTCCACCCTGCCACAAGGCAACCTGTAGTACAATTTACCTCTAAGCTCCTGGTGGCAGCTGGGGTCATCCCTGTCCCTGGGAAGGGGAAAGTCAATCACCTTTCCAATTCACTGGAGTAGCTGTGAGTAGCTGCAGGGATGGTAGAGGATCAAGCATGTGCTGCCCCAGCTGCAGTGTTTCCCATACAGCACTGCAGTGCCTTGGCTAGATGTAGCACAGTGAGTAAAGTAACTGGCTACAGGGGAAGTCTGGCTGAAGCCTTGCCTATAGAATTGGACAACATGGTGCCAAGTCACTCCCACAGCTCGTGCTTGAGCCAGGGCACCCAGGTAATCCACTGCTGGGCTGAGAGGAAGGGGAGCAGGTCCAAGAGGGAGTCTCTCTGGGCTGGTTCTAGGATACATCTGTCCTCTAGATCATGTTGGGAGTCTCTTGTATGCAGGGGTGGTGCTTTTGTGCTCATGCTGTATGATTTTAAAAACAGCCTAACTAGAATTGGAAACCAAGTTGAGCAGATCATGTAGAATAACTTTACCATTATGGACCATTGACCTTCAAGAAATCCCTGTTATTTATCAGGGCCAGATACCAGTGGTAGATGGGGCTAAACTTATCAGGGAACTGATCCCTTTCAAGATTGCTGAACTGTCAGCAAAAAAGCATGCTGAATTTTCTGTGTCAGTGTTGGGATATCTGTGCCTGTAGTTCTGGGTCCACAGAAGCAGTTTAGGCAAAGTTGTGTTTTTAATATTTGCCCTCTAATCATTCTCTAGTTTCCTGCCTTATAGGACCATAAAATAGTTTGCATAGTTTAACAAATCATGTCTATTCTACTGGTACTGAAGGACTCTGTACCATTTTGCACAGCTCAACCTTTAGCAAGTATGTTCTCTTTCAGCTGAGGCATTCTGCAGTAAAACAGCAACTATATTTAATTTTAAAGGGAGGGGGAGCAATTCCCCTTCCTTACGCCAGGGCTAGGCTGCTCAAGTAACCTGGCCTAGGGTCAATACCCCACTTGGCCTGCAACAAACAGCTTGCAGGGGGTGGCAGCAGAGGCTGGTAAGGGGCAGGTAATCAGTGGTTTCTCTGGCTACATGGGAGCTGGTTGAGCCTTGAGGGTGCTACATTAACACTGGGGGAGGCAAAGGCTCATGGGTAGCCCCCTGTTACTGGGGGGGCAAAGTACTAGTTGGGCAGGGGTCTGCCCATTCCACAGGCCACGTGCTGGTGGGGACAGGGCTCCAGTTGCTATGCGTTGTAAGATTCTCAGGACCAGCGTGACCTAGTCTCTCACCCCACCAGCTGCTGCAGGCTGTGGGGTTTCCGCCGTGGTGGGACTCTGGCTCCTGCCCCATCTAACGCACACAGCTCAGCTGCTGTATGTCACATGACAGAGAACTGCAGCAACTGACCTGCATGGCCCAAGAGCAGGTTTGTTTCTTCCCCTGGGGGGGATTAGGTCAGCTGTGTCATGCCAGTGTGAGGAAACACCCTTTCCCCTCTAGGGCTAACAACCACCGTGGGGTGTGCTGGGTCCTCTTGGGGTATGCCAGACAACAGGGCCTGGGCTGAAGAGGGAGGAGAAGATGGCCAGAAATGGCTGCTCCCAGAGAGGCCTGAAGGCTGGTGTGACATTCCCACAGGAGCAGTGTAGGGATTTTTCTTTAGCGTGAATACCCTTTGCTGCTGGTGCTGATTCTGAACCCCACCTTGGGGCTCAGGAGCGAAGCAGGGGAGAGAGAACCTTCCTTCTCCTGAGCCCAATCTAATAGCCTAGGGCCGGAGCAGGAGGCTGGCCCTGTGCATCTGGTATTTGCATGGTATCTTCCCTCTGTAATGGAACAGAGCTGGTGAGGGCAGGGTCCCCTGCCTCTCAAAGTGGCAGATCCCTAACGAGTTGCAGAGAGCCTGGGGGGAGAGAGGATCATTAGCATTTCCTCCTCAGGCTGTCCAGACCAGCTGGTGCCTAGCCACTGAGCAGGGCAGGTCTGTGCCAGCCACTGTGGGGTGTATACTGCCAGGGCCTACACTCCTCCAAAGCCAGCTGGGCTGGAGGCCGCTCTGGGTCTGCACCCTGTTTGTTGCCCCTGCTCCCCTCCCAGGCTAGGTTCTGCCAAGCTCCCTGTTCCTCTCACGGTGTTTCCCAGCGTGTGGCCGGAGTCTGACTGGACACGCAGTCCTGTGTTGATGGGGCTAGACCCTCCCCATCCTGCAGTGGTCACTTGGAAATTCTCCACGGGCCGGGCCTGTGGCAGGGTTTGCCCTGGCCAACAAGGCCCTGATCCTGAGCAGTCCCTGTAGGAGGTACTGCTGTAAATACCAGCTGACCTAGGAAGAGCTAGACAGAAGCTTTCAAGGGGCATGTAGGTATTATGGGCCCACTGTGAGTCAACGCCTCTGAAAAGCTCCTCACCGTGCCTCCAGGGCTGACAACGTGAAGCGGTGCCCCTGAGGCTGGTTTAAATACACGCTGTCCTGCTTTGGTGCCGTTTGTAGACACCCCAGGGTGGAAGTGGGGCTTGTACCTGTAGACCTTTACGGGAACAAGGTCTACGTTGTATGCTGGGTCGGCCCCACCTTGTATCTGCTAGAACTGTTGGTTTTACCGTGACCGATACGCTTCTACTGGTACAAACTCTGTGTAGAGCAGGCCCGGGAGGACGGGGAATCCTTCAGAGCAGGAACAGGGTCCCCTGAAAGCCCTGGGAGGTTGGCAGGCAGGGAAGTGGAAACGGCGCATCACTGAAAAGAGGAGGCTTGAGGCAGGGGCTTGAATACAAATCATTTAATAGGAACCCCCATCCTTGTCCATTACTGTTTGGGCTTCCCACAGGCTCAATGTGCTCTGGAAAACGAATGGGGAGCGGGGTGGAATTTCAGGGCAGATGCAGCTTTTGAAATAAACTGACCCCTTTAAGGGCCACTCACTATTTCTTTCCCATTCCCCCTTTGCGCTCCAGTCCCTTTGTGGCCTGCCCCTCCCTTGACCTGCCCCTTGTTTGGCCATTCACACAACCAGGCGACGTGCACAGCAGCTGTTTTACCAGGCTGCTTCGGGAACGTTTCTCATACCCAGCTGGCACCGGGGCTAATAAACACCTGGTGAATGAGGGCCTTCAGTGTGATGGTTTCCCTTCTGCTCCGGTACTGGGAGCTCTGATGGTCATTGCAATGGGCGGGTCTATGTGCACACTTCATATTGTGTCTGGGGAGGGGGGCGGGGGGCAGGTTTCTTTGCTGCCGCTACAGGCGGAGAGCACAGACAGGGCAGTTGCCTCCTGTATCTCCATGGTGCATGCTGCTGATGTGGCATGTCTTGGGCTCTGTTTATTTCCCAGTGTCAGTTTGAATTGCAGAGACAGGCTAAAGCAGTTAAGATCTGGAAGCAAGACAAAATCCGCTCATGCATTGACTGCTGCCTTTGGGGAATGCTAGAAGATTACCTGGAACCAAGACTGATTCTCTAAACAGGGATGGGGGCCCTGTTTTCTGGGTGCTGTGCAAACACAGAGTCTAAACAGAGCTCACAGTCTAAACAGACATGATGGGCCAAGGAAGCGTTGTTATCCATGTTACCGGGGGTCCGTGAGGTTGAGTGATTTGCCCCGGTCACACCAGGAGTCAATAGCAGAACTGGGGCTTGAACCTGGATCCCAGCCCTGTGCCTTAACCTCCCAGGCCAGCCTTCCTCTCGTTACCTATTGCCTCCAGCTCTCCCCCTTCCCACACCCCATTTGCTGCCATGCTGCACAGCCTGGCTCTTTGCCTAGTGTCAGGGTGAGCGGGTTTCGTGCAGCAGCTGGGGAGCAGGGAGCATGGTTGGCTGGGGGAAGGTTTTAGACATGCGTGTGGGGGACGTTCCTTGGGGGTCTGTGGATCTCCAGTGTTTGCATGCAGCATGGTTTGCTCAGGTCCCCTCTTCCTGCTGCTCCTTCCTCCCCTGGAGAGACAATCCAAAACCACCCCTACTGACGCTGCAGGGATGCCTCTGGTGCTCAGATAACAGAGAACTCAGAGACCATGCCTCAGCAGCCAGCCCCTGGGAGCAAAGCTCCTTCGCCTGCTTCCCCTCCCCTGGCATGAGGGATTCCCAGAAGGCACTGAAGTCTCCATAGCTGGCTCCTATGCTAGCTTCCTCACGGCCTCTTGTGCAGGAGCCACGGCAGGGTGAGATGGGGCAGGAGAGCAGCGTGCTCGTGGCTGGTACCTCGGTGCCATGTTAGAGCAACCCCCAGGCTACTCTACCGACAGCCAGGGACCAAGCAGAGACACGAGAGGCTGCAGCCAGCAACCTCCCCCTCTGCACTGAGCAGAGAATCTTTGGTCATGCGTCTCCAGGCAGGGAAAGCGGGAAGAAGGGATGTGGGAAATGTAAGTGAGGCTGGAGGCTGATTCTCAGAGCTGCTGAGCCCCTGCTGGCCCCACTGAGATCAGGGGCTTGGCACCTCGGAAAAGCAAGCCAGGCTGGCTTCTCCTAGCACCTTGCGGGGCAGCAAGGGATCAAAGCAATTACAAACTGTGCACAGAGAGCTCCTTCCATCGCAGGCACTGGAATGAGGGGGGAGCCTTAAGGGCCGTGGGGGAAGTGACGAGCTACATTTCCTAGCACAGGAGAAAAACCAAACCCACCTCCTGAAACAGGCAAGGTGGAGATATTAGGACCAGAAGCTGCTCCCCAAGCCCCCTTCCCCCCACACCATCCTGTCTTCGTGTTCCTGTCCTCCTCACAAGCACTTGAGGATGTAGAAGTTGCAGGCCGTCCCGCGGGGGCACTTGCAGAGTCTCCCGATCCTGGCTCCTTTCCTCACGGCACACGGCTCGCCAGCGTCGCACTAGGAGAGAGAAGGGCCACTTGGGTTGGAACAGCTGGTCGGATGCCCCTGGCTCAGAGCTGCCGCCCGCCTGGCTGACAAGCCATTCCCAGGCACCGATCTGTCCTGTCAGGGCTTACACAGCGCTGCAGATGTTCATGGCACACGGCCCCCACCCCGAGAGCTCACAATCAACTCCCTGTAACACTAAAAAGAAAAGGAGGACTTGTGGCACCTTAGAGACTAACCAATTTATTTGAGCATAAGCTTTCGTGAGCTACAGCTCACTTCATCGGATGCTGTTACTCTGAAACCGCCCAGTAACACTGCAGCGGAGGCTGTCGGGTAAGGACCTTGGAGTAAACGGAATCGTGAGACTAGAGGATCACGAGGGACTCTGCTGGCCTGAGAAAGTACAAATCTAAGGCTGCCGAACAAGGAGTTTATATGGCAAAACCTTGTCTCGAGGAGCCACGTTGGATGTTGCATTGTTTGCATTTGGGTTACTGGGCGTTGTCCCTTTAAGAAGTGAGGGGGGCCCTCTGGACTGTGGAGTGTGTTTGCAGAGAGCTGGGAGATGGCTGGCCTGCTTCCAGAGCATGAGAGACCTGCCTGCGTAAGCGCAGGCAAGGGCAGAATGTGTGTGGGGGGGAGGGGGTTAACCGTATCTTTCAAGGAGCCAAATACCGGGGGACATGGGGCTGGGGGAGCCCCCATTGCTCACACTCGTGGGGGAACACGGGGGGCCGGGGGAGCCCCCCCCTTGCTCTCACTGGCAGAGGCACACGGGAAGTCTCCATTGCTCGCCATGGGAGCTGCTGGGGGCTGGGCCCTACAGAAGATTTGGCCTCGTCATTCAGGCTCCCAAGTGGGAGCTGAGCGCAGCAATCTGGCGGTGGCCATGCCGAGGTGGCACTCGCAGCTGCAGGGACATTTACTCACCACCTCCCCAGGGCAAAGCGGCCAGGTCACGTTTACCCCAGGCCTTCGTTAAAGCCTCGGCCCTGAGCCAGACATGGGCGGAGCAAGCTGCGAGGGCCCGAAATAAAGGCTCCTTACCGAAGGCACTGAGCCCAGCTTCTTCTCTATGGAGGGCAGCCTCTCCGTCTTCAGTTTCTCCAGCACCTCTTGGAGAGCTTCAATCTGTGGGTGAGAAAGAGCGAGTCGGGCGGGCACCAGTCGGGTGAGCAGGGCGCCAGGGTCCTTCTCCATCCACAGCCAGCACTGCAGCCCGCCGTGCAGTGGGGAGCTGAGATTGGTCGCACCAGCTATTAGCGTGGCAAGAGGATCAGCTTGTCACAAGCACCGGAGTCTTCAGCCACGGCTATGCTTATGGGTGCCATAGTGTAGATATTTCCTGCCGTGGCTGAAGGGGTTTCCATTCCACCTCCCCGAGCCGCAGTAGGCTGGTTGATGGAAGAATTCGCCCATTACCCTAGCAGCGTCGATACAGGAGGATTGGGGGTGGAGGGGAAGGTTGTCTTAACTCCATCACTCAGGTGTGAATTTCTCACGACTGAGCGACGGAGCTAGGGTGCTAAGAATTGTCCTGTGAATTGTCACTGTGAAAGTCAAGGGGGCTTAGGAGCCTCCAGTCACTGAGGTGGGCTGGAAAGCTTCACCCCGCATGGGGCTGCATAGATACACACGGGACATCTGCATGAACAGCATGGCTTGGCATACCGGTGCCAGCCTAAATCTAGCTCGTGCTGGTAACAATGGTAGTGTGGACATGGCAGCACGGGCTGGCAACTGGAGTACAAGCCCACAGGGGAGCCTGGGTAGTCTAGCTGCCCCGGCTACCCTCCTGTTGTTACCCACCCTAGCTAGATCAAGGCTAGTCCGGGTGTGCCGACCTGGCTGTAATCCCATTTCCTTGGCAGTGTGGATGGACGCTGAGCGAGGGATGGTCCCTGCCCCAAAGAATATTTGCACCCTGAGAGATTCAGTGAGTCCCCCGAGGGACTGACCCCAAAGTGCCAGCCCTGCGCCGTGGCCACAAACCCGACCGCTTTACTTGCAAAGTCCCTGAATCAGTGTCTCGAGGGGATCGTTTGGGTGGCTGGAGCAGCCAGTGGCACCAACAAACCAGGACTGGTGCTGCCTGCGTTCTCTTGGTGCTTTAGCCTCAACCTCCCGTCCCAGCAGGGAGGCACATTTATTCTGCAGGTCCACTGGCGTTTTCCTGTCGCTTAGGATTTTAGCCATCGCTCCACAGAGGAGGACAGTGAAGGGCATGTAATCGGAATGCCTTCTGGGGTCTTTTATGGAGAGAGGTTGTTCTCTTGCCCAGTTCCATCTTCCACCCTCTGCAACCCCTTCACTTTAAACACTGGCTGGGCATCTCATGTATCTGTGCAACCTTGGGCGAGTCGCATGGCAAGGCCCAGATTTTAAGAGCCACTTAGGCAGCTAAGGATGGAGTTACAGGTGATCTTGAAAACCCCACTAGTCACCTGTCTGCACCTTTACAAAGCTGGCCCTCACTTTGTACAAGGGAGAGGATGAATTGTCTTTTCACCTCCCCGTTCTCTGTCTTGGCTGCTTAGACTGGGAGCCCTTTCGAGCGAGGACCATTCTCAGGGCACATCTGTGCGGCGTGTGGCACAATGGGGCCCTGACCTCCGTTCAGGATTCTAGATGCTGTGACAACACAGTAAGTACCCTCCCTCGCGCTCAGTACTTTGACGGTCCCTATTACTGCAGTATCCAAGTGCCTCCTGAAGTCGTATTTCCCATTCTACTACCCAGGACAAGCAGGGACCTCTGTAGAGCTCTCTCAGGTGGTGAGAAGGGATCTTTGTAGCTTTCCGGCCCTGTCCACTATTGTTACGGTAACTCCTTGAAGCTCTACCACCTCTTGCTACTGCAACCCTGGATAAAAGGTGGCCCAAAAAGGAGCATTAGATTCACATGCACGAGAACAGCCGTTTGCTGACAAACTTTAAAAAGGGAGACCCGACAAACAGCATGAAAGCTCAGAAATTCAGAGCCCTGGTCCATATTTCTTGTTCCAATAGCCCACCTCAAGCACTGGACTGCTAGTTAAAAAGTTTAAAACATTCATTAAAATACCAGACCCAGAAAAAAATCACCCACTCCGATACATTTGCATCCAGGTCAAGAAATGAAAGGATCCATTGTGGGATCCATTCCGTTTCTTTATGCAACAATCTGTACGCAGAGGCTGGGTGTGTTTTAATCTAATCATACCGGCATATTTAGGGTTTGTTTCATGTCGCTTTTAACCAAACAATATCTCTAAATCCGTGCCATAAAAACCAATCAGCTTTTTAAAGAAAGTGCCTGGTTCTCACTGGACAAACCTTTAGCAAACCAACAGCCGTGACTGATCTCTGGCTGGGCGAGAGCGGAGTCTAGTTGTCACTGTTACTTCGCTAGACCCGCTTCCTAGACTCTTGCTGGCCTGTTTGTTCTGGACGCAGGAAGCCCCTTTCTAGCTAGCTGAGCTGATTGCAGGGCATGCCAGCGCCTCCCGAGCACCGGTGACTTTATCCTTGCAATACCCAAGCGTCACCCTGGCTCAGCAAAGGACTTGCGCCCATGCGATTGACCTGGGGCGTGAAAGAGACCAGAGTACAGCTACCCTTGAAGCGGGAGCTGTGATTGCCAGCGGGGGGAGAGGTGCGCAGGCGGGCACCAACGGAACTAGTATGCTAAAACCAGGGGGGTTGCCACAGATATCTACCTCAGGTCCCAGGCAGGGCAGTGCTCGGGGCAGCTGGCCCGCTCAGAGCTAGCGGCCTAGGGCCGCGTGAGCTGGAAATAACACCTCCAGGGGTGGCGGCGGGACCCGCTGCCAGGGGTTTTCAGTGGGAGCTGGGCAGGGCCGCAGGAAAAAAATCTCAGCCTAAGCGACTTGCCCAAGGACCCACGGTGTCAGTGGCAGAGCCGGGCAATGAGCCCAGAGGCCCAGCTGAGTGTCTGAGCCACGCGCCCACCCTCCCACCTAGCCCTTGAGGAGACGGGCAGCCCCTTGCACGCTGCCCCCAGTCACAGCGTCCTTCCCCCCTTACCAGCTCCTTTTCTTCTTGGCTCTTGCTCGCCGGGCTGCCCGCAGCCCTGGGCCCCAGGGTCTCCTGGCCGGCGGCCAGCAGGGAGAGCAGGGAGCAGAGCAGGCAGAGCCGGGAGCTGGCCATGGTCCTGAAGTTCAGGCGTGACCCCCTTGGCTCGCCCCGGTGCGGCAGCTCGCCGGCTGCTCCGTCGGCTCCGCGCGGGGGGCGGCCGGCTTTATGCAGCGTGTCGCCAGCTCTTTGAATGCGGAGCGACACCTCCGCAGGCGCCGGATTGGTGGAGACGGGGCGGGGGCGGCCTTGGAGGGCTGGCCGGGGAGCTGGAGCTGGCTGGTAGCACCAGGCCTCCTGTGATGGATTTTAGCCTCCTGGCCCCAGGGCGCCCCCCCCTTCGCCCGCCACCAGCCAGCTCCCCACAGGACGCAGTGACCCTGAGTGCCAGGAGCACCCTGCCAAGGGCTGAAAGGCAGCAACACCACAGTGCCCCTGGGCCCCGGGCCCGGCCCTGGGCTGCCAGCACACCGCCAGGCAGGGGCCCTTCCGGGGGCTAAAGCTAGCCCTGGCAGCAGGGTAATTAGGCCTGGCTCAGCGGGAGCAGCACAAGCCAAGCGGCTCTGGACCAGTTGGATTCTAATCCCGTTACCACCAGGTAACTGAGCCAGTCCCACTTTTCCTGCCTCAGTTTCCCCAGTCTGCACAATAGTTAATGATGCTTGAGCTGCCTTTGCGAAGAGCTGGAGCCCTGAGGCCGGGAACCCCGAGCACTGGAGCCAGTTGTGGGGGAGGCGAAACCCCTGTTTCATTTAGGCCCTAAGCTCTGCAAGGAACCCAGCTCAACAGAGAACCGAGTGGAAGGGGCAAAGGCTGCTTGAGAGACAGGCAATAACTCAGGCTGCCTGGCTCAGAGAGTCTTAAGTAGGTGGAGACAAGGCCCAAGAGCTGCACTTAGCAGCTTAACTCCAAAGGGTGGAAAATCAATGGATGAAACGGGCCAGGGTTGGGACCCTGAGAGCCTCATCACAAAGTAATTCCGCCTTGTCAAGAAGCATCAGGGCTGATCCGCCAGGACGCTGTGTCCCTGCCAGTAAATCACTGGAACTGTCCAGCCCACACACATTAATGGGCCTGTGGGGACCAGCCAGCCTCTGGGCGGCCGTATGAGGCCAGAGCACGGGATTTCCTCGGTGCATGGTGGGGGCTGGAAAGTGGCAGACAGGCCGGTGAAGGGATTTCTCTTTGAAGGCTACATCCTGGCTCATCCCTCAGTGCAGAGTGATGGGGCTCTGGCTGTGTGACGTCACCCTTCAGGGGCTCACAGACGTTAAGGTCAGAAGGGACCATTGTGATCATCTAGTCTGACCTCCAGCACATCGCAAGCCACAGAACCTCACCCACCCACTGCTGTAATAGACCCCTGACCTCTGGTTGAGTCACTGACGTCCTCAAATCACAGTTTAAAGACGTCAAGTTACAGAGAATCCACCGTTTACACTGGTTTAAACCTGCAAGTGACCCATGTCCCATGCTGCGGAGGAAGGCGAAAAAAACCCCAGGGTCTCTGCCAATATGACCTGGGGAAAATTCCTTCCCAACCCCACATATGGCGATTAGTTAGACCATGAGCATATGGGCAAGTCCCACCGGCCAGAGACCTGGGAGAGAATTCTCTGTAGTAACTCAGAGCCCTCCCCAGCTAGTGTCTCATCTCCGACCATTGGAGATATTTGCTGCTAGCAGTCGCTGATTGGCTACACGCCATTGTAGGCCGTCCCATCAGACCGGGATCTAGGGGGAAACTGTGAAAGGGCTAGGACATCCTGTCCCCGCGGGCTAGACATACTCCTGCTTGGACCACAATAGGTGCGTCTTCACTGGGGGGGAAGGGCTTGCAGGACTCACATTAACACCTGCAAAGTAAAATCCGAGGGCCGATATGGCAAGCTATAGTTTTTACATGAATTAGTAGGTTGAAGTGCAGACACTGGGGGAGTGCAAGGCCTGTCCCTTTAAGGGCTCAGGGCCAGCCAGTCCTGTTTAGTCAGCCCAGCCTGCCACCTCTGCTGGGCAGAGGCCTCAGGAGGAAGCCCGGTAGTACGGGCTGGCGGCAGAGGGGAGCCATGGGGCTGGATTTGGATGGAGGGCTGAGCTGCCAGAGTGGCACTAACTCCTGGGCAAGGCCCTCCAAGAAGGGGCCAGGCCAGCGCTCGGTGTCCCCAGGAGGAGAGAGACCGTCATGGTCCATGTTGTACTTGGTGTCCCAGCGGGGAAAAGCCCAGGGAGTCAGAGCCCCACACGGAGCAAGACCCATGAGCTGAGCCCAGGAGGGCCAAAAGACCTTTGGTTTGTTGACTGTGGACTAATGGCAAAGTCGGGGTTTGCTTTGGGAGCTAGACAGTCCATCCCTTCCAGGTACTACAACGCTCCTTCTACACTACGAGTGAGGGGTGAATCCCCTGCTCGGGGGTACATGCTCTCTCCATGCTGATCACACAAGCTGACAAGCTAGCGTGAGTATAAATAACCTCGTAGCTGCGGTGAGCCATGCTGAGCGTGTATCTACTGGTGCCAGGTGGACCTGTCCCTGGCATGGCTCAGCCGTGCCCCCAGGGCACTACCATGGCTACACTGCGACTTATACTCCTGTTTGCTCCACGAGTGCACCCGCACATGAGCAGAGGGATCACGCCGTAGCGTAGATGGAGCCTGAGCCACCTGGGCCAAGGGTGAGACCAGGGAAGCCCCAAGAAGGTGCAGGCCGGGGAATCGGTTCTGTGCACGCGGGGCTTGAGCTGGGGCTGCCAGGGAGCCGAGCGTCAGCCAAGACCTGCAGAAAGAACAAGGAGGACTTGTGGCACCTTAGAGACTTACAAATTTATTTGAACATAAGCTTTCGTGGGCTACAGCCAGACCTGCTAACTGAGGAACTACAAACATATCAGGCCTCACTAGGATTTTGCCCTGTGTAGTTCCCACGGGTGAAGACAAGGCCCAGCAGCCCGGCAGGAGGAGGAACGTTCCTCCGAGGCGGCTGGTGCCGGCTGGCGCTGGGCTCTGCTCCAGGCTGAGTCCCGGGTTCCTATCACACCTCGCGGGCGCTGAGGAGGTACGTAAACAGCCCGTGCGCGGCCACCGAGCCGGTCACCCCGCAAAGGGCCCTGGAGCTGCAATGAAATTAACCAGCCAGGCTCCCCCGCCCCAGGACATCCCGCAAGGAGCGAGCAGCATCCGCCCCGCACCTGGGACCGAGCAAACAGTGAGGCAGGCTTTCTGCGCAGCCGGCAGCCATGGGAGCAGCTAGGTCTGCGCACACCCCCTCAGCCACCGTCACCCTCCCAGGGCAGGGGCAGCCAATTCACTGAGCCAACATTACTCCCCCCTCCCCAACACACGACGTCTCAGCCTCCTGTCCCCTCCCCAACCAGGCACAGAGCTGAGCCCGGCAGGTCCCCGCAAACAGCAGATGGCTGCAAGCTTCAGCCACGCTGCGGCTAGGGAGACCGCGGCTGAGTAACTGTGTTTGTCAGATTCTGGCAGCGCTGCCTCTTCTCCCCTGCCCCAGGGAGACCTGTGCCGAGAGCGGCGCTCGGCCCTCTGCTCTGGCTGGGCAGATCAGCCCCATCTAGTGGCAAGGAGTTCCCCACACCCAGCTGGTTTCACCCGGGCCAGTGTTCGGGGAAGGCCAGCTGGAGAGCAAGGCAGCCCTTTGTGTAGCTAGGACAGTTACTTTGCAAGTGGGCCTGGGTGGGCGCCTTCCAAGGGGGAGCTGGTGAGACTCAAGCAGCTGCGGGTTTCGGTTCCTTTGCAATAGATTTGATGATTTTGTTTCACTCTTCGGGGGCAGGGGTGGGGCACTAGCGGCTGGGGTTACAAGGCCTGAGTGGGGAGCAGGGAGAACAGGCTCCTGCAGGGCCAGGCCCCGTGAGTCATGGGCAGGCATGCCCAGCCCCCCGGCCGGCTGTAAACACGATTTGTTTTGCTGAGTCCTTAATGGCACCTGCAGCCGGGCCCCGAGCCATAAATCCTGGCAGCAGGAATAACAGCAGTTAGCCGCTGAGCGCTGGAGGAATCAACTGGCCATCCCCGAAGGGGGGCAGCTCCATCAGCCTCTCACGGCTCCAGCCCCCGTGTTGTGGCTGAAGGAACCGAGGGAGCAAGCAGGGGCTGAGGGCAGATTCCCTGCTGGGCCCGCAAGCTAGAGCAGCATTGAAGGGGGGCGACCCAAGGCTGCTGCTTGCTGGTGAGGATGCGAGGCTGGGAGTGCGGAGGACGTTACCTGTCAGCTCTGTGACTTGGGGAACCAGGGCGCAGTATCCAGCCTGTCTGACTCATGAAGGACACCTCCCTCCCCCCAGCCTCTTGAACCAAAACCCATCAGAAGAAAGACTTACAAAAAGCAATGACAAGGCCGTGGGAGACACCTAAACCCCTGGGACAAGGGTGACAGAATTAAGGGAACTCCCCTAGCCTCATCTGCAGCGAAGATGGGACAGGGAGGCATCTCCATTAGCGCACAGACTGGAGAACAGAGATTTCAAGGCAAGAACCGCCTGGAACGCAGGGACCAGAAAGGCAGGGAAGCAGTGCATGATGGGGGAATCTCTGCTCCAGACGTTAACGAACCCACCTCTGCACACACCCAGCTCTGTAGTTATCAGACCAATTTGAGCAATAAGTCCTTTACTGGCATCCAAAATACTGAAGCTGCCGAATTGCATTGTGAGCTCCCTGGAAGGAACACCGCCCATAGCCAGGAATGAGCAGTTCCTATTGTCTAGCCTGAACGAAACTTTGGTATTCTCCCTTGAGCCATCAGTTTACCCACAAACAAATCTAGTGTTCTCCCTTGAACCATTGTTCTTTCCCGACAAAAACCCTGACCTACGCTCAAGTTCTCTGATGCCTGGATCCAAAATCTGCATCAGTTCCATTGGGACTTCATCTTCTCCTGAGTGATCGTGCCAGGGGCTCTGCCTGGCTCCACCCCTCCGGACCCTCAGCTACCGCCACCAACTTGGACCCTCGACCGATTCCAGCTTCACGGAGAGGTGAGAACCCAGCTCTCTCGCTCTCTCTTGGTGCAGCCTTCTGACCTTGACTTGTGTGATCAGTTATAGCTTTCTAAACCTGATTTTGTAATCAAATTTCAGCTAGATTTACTATTGTAACTGTTTTGTTTGTTTGGCTCCCCTTGTAGCGTTATTACTTGGCAATAAATAACTTTTATGGTTAAACTGGTTGCTTCCCTCCCTCTCTCGTGTTTTTGGCTTCCCCATTTGCTCTTCAGCAACTCTCCTCGTACTTAAACTAAGATCCCTGCAGCGCCCAAAAATCCTGTGGGGTTTGCTCATCAGTGGGTTATGACCAGAACAACTGTAACGTGGAAGTGGGGATAGGGACGTGCTGAACCTGGGGCATAGGAGGGCAGCAGCTTGAAAGAGCTGCTCGGCGGAGCCTGCTGAGTCCAGGGACATATAAGGGGTCAGTCAGACACGCACTGTAAATGTGTGTGTGTGTTCGTCTGATTTGGGGCTGCAGGACCCAGCCCTGGGGGCCCTAGGTCCTGCAGGATACCTCCATTGGGAGGGAACTTGCAGCAAGAAGAAGCAGAGCTCCATACAAAAACACAAGTGACACAAGCAGGACACTGATAGAATTACAGAACCCCGCCACCCTTCAGAAGAGTAACCCTCATAAATGAGCATACCCCAAAGTAACAGGCAAATCTGGAAACAGGGAGATTTAAGGCACCAGGGCAAATCCTTGCATTTTCTAAGGGCTCATGACTGTACAGGCAGGACAGGGACTTTGGTTTCACCTCCAAGCCAGGCACAGAGAGCGTGCGGCCCAGGCCTAGGCTCACAGGCCCTAGCAGGGCGAGGGGCCCGGATCTGACCCTGTGCTGATGCGGAGTCGCACCACGGCACCTCCTTGAGGCACTGTGGCGCTGGGAGCTGCCCAGACACAGGCCCGAGCCCCAGGTGCAAAGACGAGACAGACGCGCGAGGCGGGGTGGGAGGGACACAAAGGCAGGAGCATTCTGCCCATTTTACAGAGGCCCGGAGAGATGTAGTGACTTGCCCATGGCCACCCAGGGAGTTTGTGGCAGAGCCAGGACTCGAACCCAGGACTCACAGGGACCATCTGATCGTCTAGCCTGCTCCTTTTGTGTGTCACAGGCTCAAGAACTTGTACCCAGTGACCCCCCCATGGCCTCTCCCCCGAAAAGCCACCCAGCCTTGGAGGGGTGCGAACTCCTACGGGCGTAGGGCACAGCCCAGCACCTTAGCCCATCTCGGTCACAGTGAGCGTGTTTCAAACGCGGGAGCCCACTGACATCCCCCCCTCCGGGTCCAGCTGATGGGAAAACCCCTCTCCCTCCACCCATCCAGAGCAATAACCTCCCTGGAGCCCAGGGTCTGACAAACACCTTTTATTGGAAACCACCGACGGGCACCAGCCCTCCCGTCTGCACACGCCTGCCGCTGGGGAGCGATGCCTCCACACCCAGGACGCCAGCCAGGCTCGGAGCCAGCGCGGGACCAAGGCTGCCTCCGTCCTCTCCCTCCCCGGGGTGCACGGTGAGCTGGTACCCAGCACTGCAGAGTCCCAGTCCTCTAAGCATGAGCACCGGCACCAGCATGGAAACCTCTGGCCGACGGTGCCGCTGTCTCCAGCCTGCCGGGGCGGAGCAAGAAGCCAGACCCAGCTGCAAGGAGGAACGGGGGAGGGATGAGGGGGAGGAGACGAGGTGACGCTCCTACCTCCTGCGGGGGGGCTCCCCCAAAGCTTCCCCGCTGACGGGAGGAGCCTGTGAAGGCAGCAGAGGGATGGATTGCCCTAGAGATCCCTGGGGTGCAGGGGCTGCCGTGCGTGGGGCAGAGCGGGCCACAAGGACTCATCCGCTTCCAGGGGAGGTTTATCCACATCACGGCGCAGCTTGGCACAACTGGCCACGTCCGCAGGCACCTGGTGGAATAGCCGGCTGGGGGGGGAGGGATAAAGACTGAGGGGCACTGGCAGATCTGGGGGCGAGGAAGAGCCCTGTGCCACATGGACCTGCTCACTTCCTGCCCCACAGCCAGGAGCCAGTGCCCGGTAAACACCCCCAGCATCTCAGCTCCCCCCCCAGTGTCCACACAGTGCAAACCCAACCTGCCCCTAACTGCGCGGGGACGACTTCTTCCACCGTGGTCCCTGCTTTGCAGGGGGGACTGCCGCCTCCGCCCGGCCTCGTCTGAGTCCCTGCAAGGCACAAAAGGGTTAATGTGTAGCACTCAAAGGCTGCCAGTTCAAATCCAGCCCTAGGCACGTGCCAGCTCAGCACCTGGACACACCCCTGTTCCTCTGCCCACCAGCCCCACCCCCACCCCAAAAAACCCCCTACAGTGAGAGGAGCCCCTAAGGGCATCCAGCCCGTGTCCCAGCAAGCCGCTCCCCCATTTAGCTCCGTCCCAGGAGGCTAAACGCAGAGCTGCAAGCAGCACGGCTCACGCCCAGCACCGCCAGCCACCCTCTGCAGCGAGGGGGGGTGGTACCGCAAGTGGCCGGTGCAGCCTGGCCCCCACCCGGCAGCACCGGGGAGACGGGCAAGACAGCCCCACTGTCTAGGGGGCAGATCCCCACCCGGCCAGGCCTTACCATGTAGAAGCCAGTGTGGTACCCGCTCATGTACCAGGCCAGGAGCATGCAGGCCAGGGCGCCCCCCTCATCGTCCTCCGCGCACAGCGGGTCCAGAAGCAGCGGTGGAGGGGGAGGGATGACCTGGAAAAGCAGCAGCAGAGTTCCTGGTCAGGGACCTTCCCTAGCAATAAAGATGCTTACAGAGATCCCCCCTCCCTGGAGGGGGGGGGGGCAACTCACCCGGGATGCACAGGGACCCAGGAGCTTTACCTGACACCCCCCCAGGAGTCCTTCCCACAGTGATACACAAATCAACGGCCTGCTGGCGCCACCTAGTGGCTTCTTTGTGCTCCAGCCTGCGGGGGCTCCCTGCCCCCCTTGCCTCCCAGAGAGGGCAGGGAGAGCCTGGGCAAAGCTGGGGGTGCCCCAGCGCTGGGCTCCTATGCCAGGCTCAGGGGGGTGGGCTCTGGCTCCATAGCTCATGGGGCTGGCAACCCCGAGATCGGACGCTGCAGGATGGCAGCTCGCCCTGGAAGTCTGGCCAGAGCATGGGCTACCAGAGATGGCAGTGGGCTACCAATACTGCCCTTTAACAGCCACCAGGCTTTGGGTTCTGCACTGGTTTGCCCCCTCCTCCAGCCCCGGGGGGAGGGCTGGGGCAGGAGATCAACAGCCAGGGCCCTTTCCCGCAGGGCGGGAGTCGCGGAGGCTCTGGGTTTGCCGTAGAAACAGGTCCCTGACGAGGAGCGTGTACACTCACCGGGGGGCAGGCGGATCTGCGGGGCCGGGGGCCAAAGGGCAGCAAGGGACCAGGCCACCAGGAGCCGCTCTGAAAGGGAGGCAGAGAGAGCGCCCAGCAGGCATGAGCCCAGAGAGAGGACGGGGATGTGACCCCAGTGAGCCAGGGATGGAGACGGCCCCATGGTGTGATCCCAGCATCTCCCACCAGCTGTTCCAAAACCCCAGCAGGGCATGGGTCACTAGCCCCCAGACCTTAATGGGCTGCCCCTGTCCTTCCCCTCCCCTCCCCACACTGCCCTGGGTCTGGGCTAAGTGGGGAGGGGGCCCTGTTACAGGGCCATGACATTTAAAGGGGAACCAGGGCACTCGAAAGGGCTAATCCCACTAGTCCCCGCTTGAAGGGCCATGGGCCCAGGCCCCCCATCGCGCTGCTCCTCTGTAAGGGCAACAGTGACACAGCGCCCCCTACTGCACGGGTACAGGAATGACTCCCAGGGACAGTGACCCCCCCCCGCCCACCTACCACCAGCACAGCACCCCCCAGCTCCACCCTGACTGCCAGGGGAGAGCGCCCCCTAGTGCCATGTTGGGCACTGGAGTCAGCACCCACTCCAAAGGGACCATGCCCCCTACTGGGCCCCCTGCCCTGCTTCCTGCCCCCTAGCACCACCCTGGGGTAGTGGGGTCAGCACTGACCCCCGGGGGAGAGCTCCCCCCTCTGAGACACCTCGTTCCCATGCAGCAGCCAGGGCTTTCCCCACAGTCTCCCCCACAGTCTCCCATTCAAGGCCTGAGCAGACCAAACCCTGCTTAGCTTCAGGGCTGTGAGGCACAGCTTGCGTTCTTCTCCCTGCGACGCGGGGGGGACACGACGGGACGACACGTGGAGTGGGGGCTGCGGTTGAAGCTCCCCCAGGTCACTGTCCCGCTGGGGCAAGCCCAGGCACTCACCTTGGGCGGCGGGGGGAAGTAATGCGCCCACTCCCCTTTCGTGCTCGGCCTCCTCCAGCTGTGGGGCGGCTCGCGGGGGAAGCTGGGGCTGCATCCCCTGGGCACTCCAGGGGCGTCCGCTTCAGCCTTGCCAAGGAGACACAAGGATCAGAGCAGAGCGTGCCCCTGGCGTGCCCCGCACCAGGCCTTGCACTTCCACCAGCACGCAGCAGGGACCTGCAACCCCCCTCGCCTGCCCCAGGGGACCCCACAGAGAAGGGGGGAGGCGCAGAGCTGGCAGGGGATCAGACAAGGGAGAGAAGAGGGGACACTAACTGCCGGGGAGAGCGCCCCCTACTGAGCCCCCCCACACCCGCAGCACACCACCCCCTAGCATTGAGCTTTGGGGGTAATCAGGGGGGATAAAGGGAAGTGAAGAGAAAAACGGGGTGTGGGAGGGCGGATCAATGGGCAGAGTTAAGGGGAAGGGAAGTTAATGAGGGATTCGGGGCTTCTGCAATGATTACAGCCAAGATCTCCCCTCCCACAAATCAGTCCCTCACTAACAGAGCCCCCTTTGCCCCCCCAGCCACTCAGTCTTGGGGTGGGGGCTCCTTTAATGGCCCCCACTCCCCGTCCCATGGGGGGCCACTCACCCTCCAGCTGCCCAGGTCCCCATCCACGGCCCCGCACGGGGACAGCAGCTCCTCCAGCACTTGCTGTTCCTTGTTCCCGTAGCCGACAAACTCCACCAGGCACGTCCCCGCCGCGGCGTCCACCGACCGCACAGTGGCCGGGTAGAGCAGCCCGTCCTCCGACCAGATGGCGCTGCAGGCATCGCCCGCCTTCCACTGGGGAGCGGCACCAACCGTGGCTCACACAAGAGCCCATCACACAGAGAGCCTGGCTGCTAGGGACCCCACGAGGCCCCAGAGTCTGTGTCTGCCTCGGGGTCCCGACCAAACCCCAGCTCGGGACAGCACCTTCCACCTCCCCCTGCAGCATCAGAGGGAGGCAGAGCTCTGCTGTGTGTCAGAAATCGGACCCAGGTGTCCTGAATCCCAGACCCGGGCTCTGGTCATGAGGCCCCGTTCCCCTTCCCACACTGGGAACAGAACCCAGGCATCCTGACGCTCTCCCCTGCTCTAACCATTCAACCACACTCCCCCCACCCGAGAGCAATCCTGGCTCCCAGTCCTGTGCTCTAACCACCACACCACACCACCTCCCATTGAGATGGGTGAATCTGAGAGCAGACAGTTCCCCCGTAGGGCGGGCCCAGTGCCCAGGTTAAGGGGAGTGAGCCAGGCCCCTCTGGCTAACCCTGCCAGCACCCCCCCCACGCAGCCCCACCCCACAGCATCTCACCATTCTCCGGGGCTCCAGCGAGTCGTCTGGGCTCTCGTCGGGGGGGAAGAGGTCCCGCAGCCTCTGCTCCTCCCGATTGCCGTAGAGCTCGTACTCCACCACGCAGGCGTCCCCCTCCTCGCTCAGGGAGACGACGTGAGCCGGGTAGAGAAGCCCATCTCCGGACCAGACGGCGCAGCACGTGTCACCCACCTTCCACTGCGGAGACAGAGGAACAGGGCCTCAGGGCTGCAGCGGGGTCACTGGACGGGCTGTAGCCCACGCTACCCAGCATGAACCATCATTGTGCAACGCACATGCTAGTGCGGCATTTGCACTATTCCACGCGCCGCCCTGACTCCAGCGTTGGATCCTGCAGATCTCTTCTTGCTCTGTACTCACCTGGGAGCCTTCCTCCTCTTCCTCCTCCTCCTCCACATCTCCTTCACTCTCGGCCCCGCTGGAGGCTGAAGACTCAGAGCTCTTGGATGCCTGGTCCTTGTCGCCAGTTCCCAGGGTGTCCTGCAATGTTGGAGATACTGAGGCAGCTGAGAGGAGGAGGGGAATTTGGGAGGAGTAGCTGCTCTGTCCCCCCGCCCCACTGAGACAGGCTGGAAGGACCAACCTTTCCCCACAGGGCTGGGGGAGCATCAGACATGGAGAGGGAGGGGACATCCCAGAGCAGGAGGGCGAAGGCAGCTCTCAGACCTGTGCAAGCAGCCAGGTCATTGCCCCATAGGCAGCACAGACTGCAGCCTCTGCCCCAATCCCCAGGGGGCTGGGGTCAGCAAGACCTGGAGCAGGTAGCTCATGGGGCACATCCAACAGGCAGGGACACAGGGGGAAGCATCCCCAGAAGTTCAGCACAGCCCCCCCGCGTGCCTCACCTTACAGGAGCGGATGGCTCGGTCGTAGGAGCGGATCAGAGCGCAGTCATCGGACGCTGTGCAGTCGGCATTCTGCAAACAGCACGCACCCCGTCACGGAGGGTCGTCTACACACACGACATGGGGCTGTGTCCTTCAGCTGAGCCCAGCCACCAGAATCAGCTACCCCGAGAGCATGACACACGCTGGCAGGCAGAGGGGCAACTGCGAGCCCCAGTCCTGTACTGGGACCTGGTCACGCCGACCCACGCAGAATAGGGCCCTTAGCACTAGCAAGTAGGGACGTTCTCTTTGTTCCCTGGCATGCTGCTCGGCCGTAACCGTCCGGCCAATTCGCATGATTGGTTTGAAAGCTCCCAAGCTCTTGAGATCCTGGGATCACAGGAGCACCTTGGCTTCCATTTAAAAATCCAAACAGTTTCTAGCCCACTGAGTTACAGAGGAAAGCTTGAAAACATGACCCTAGAAATCTCAAGCCTCAGAAACCCAAAAAAAAGAGGACCCCAAATCTTATTATTTTTAAGGCAATCACACGCTTTCTGATCCATGATTAAACTCGATAAGTTTATGGAGGAGATGGTATGATGGGATAACATGGTTTTGGTAATTAAATATTCATGGTAAATAGGCCCAATGGCCTGTGATGGGTTTTTAGATGGGGTAAGATCCAAGTTACCCGGGAAAGAATTTTCTGTAGTATCTGGCTGATGAATCTTGCCCATATGCTCAGGGTTTAGCTGATCGCCATATTTGGGGTCGGGAGTTTTTTCACAATTTGAATTAAGATGTGAGGTCTTTTAGGAGTGGTGGGGAAATTCTGTGGCCTGCATTGTGCAGGAGGTCAGACTAGAAGAACGTAAAGGTCTTCTGGCCTAAACACTTACTGTGTGCCAGTGGAAGTTCATCCAGACCAGCCGGCACCTCCCCGAGTTCTTACCCTGAAAAGCTACAGTCCTGATTAGCCTGGACACATTAAACCATCCCCCCTGGAGAAACTCTGATCCACAGCCGGAAGTGGATTAATGACCCCTCACGCTTCCCCATGTGGTACAAGGCAGGGCTGTGTTTCCCCTTTTACAGATGGGAAAAGTCCAAAGTCACACAGCGTGAAACCGGTAGAGCTAGGAACAAAAACCCAGTCCGCTGCTCTTCCCACTAGGCCATGCTGTTTCCCAATCAAGGTAAATATGAGTGCTGCCCGAACTCAGCAGGGGCTACTCACAGGCTTAAAGTTAAGCACCTGCTTAGTTCTGTGCAGGATCAGGGCCTCCTGTAAACAAATCACAAAGCAAGCAGAGCAGCAGTCGCCCCCCACCCCTACCCCATAATATGGGGCAGGGGCTCATTCACCCCTCTAAAACCCAAGACAGGGAAAACCCCGCAAGTAAGAAGGTTTGGCGCTGTTGAAACCTGTGTAACAAACCCATCCGCGTCTCTGCTGTAGTATGAAAACCCAAAAAAGTATCCGGGCATGTCTACGTGGTACCCAATCCTGGGGGTGGGAACTAAACCCTACCACGACACTCATAAAAGCCACCAGGCTTCCGCAGCCGCTGGTTTCCCAGGGGCTGCTACCACCCCGCAGCTGGGGCTGGATTGCAGGGTATTCTAGCCAGCCCCCCCGCTAACACCCCCTTGGGGGCAGGGGGCAGCCCCCGCGCTCTCGTGTCCCCCCTTTGAACTTGGTGTAAAGCAGGGAAATGAACGACTCCAGCTTTGGCTTTAAGTGCAGCTTCTTCACCTTGGTTTGCAAGTGGCGGGGGGGGGGGCCACACTGAGTCCTATCTGTGAGTCCCCCCCAAAAAAGGCCTGGGGAGGAAGCCCCCCCCCCCGGGATTTTAGAGGCCCCAGTGGGGTCCTCCAGCAGCTCCAGAGCCTGATGCATTCGGGTTGCAACCTGCCCCCCACGGCTTACCTGGTGCCCCTCCTTCTGGTACACGATCTCCCCCGCACACTCGGCCATTGCACGCGGAGCCCGCAGCCCCTAAGGCGCCATCGCAGGGCAGGCGCAGCCCGCTCCCCGCACACAGCTTCTTGCACCGAGCCCAGGCACGCACGCGGGGCCCGTCTCCAGGCTCCCTGGGAAACGTAGTTTTCTTCGCCCTCACCCCTGCCTGCGTTCTGCAGCGCAGCCGGGGGAGGCTTGGACTACAGCCCCCAGAGGGCATTGCTCTCCCGCCACAGAGCGGCGGGGGCTGGCAGGCGGCGCGCCGGTCTGCTCTGCACAGCGCCCTCTGCGGGCAGGAGGTACACGGCGCCGCCTAGGGATGGCCAATCTTCACAGGCTGGGCCGCGGGGAGAGGGTCCCCCGGTGTGACGAGCTGTGTCGGGGCTCAGCTCAGGCTGGGTTAGGCGGATTAGGACGTGATCTCAGGCTCCACACAGGGAGGCTGACAAACAGAGTTCCCCCTGGGATGCAGGCTCCCTTGTGGTTCGGAGACTAGACGGAACCCAAGAGACTGGAGCCCAGGTCTGCTCCGGATTTCCTGGGCAAGTCACTACCTCTCTTTGTGCCTCAGTTCCCCCTCTGTGAAGCGGGGATCATGATCCTGTCCTGTCTAGTTAGATAGCAACCTCTTTGGGGCAGAGACTCTCACTCACTCCGTGTCTGTGCAGCACCCCGCACGACGGGGCCCCGGTGAGCTCTCTAGACCCTCCTGGAAACGTAAATAAAAATACTAAACAAATTCTAGCTGCCGTGAAACAGGACAACTATTTAATACCATGCAGCTGTGACCACTGCAGCCCCTCTGCAAGGAGAAGGAAAAGCTCTGGCAAACAACGGTTAAAGCTGCCAAAACTCTGCAACACCCAAGGCTGCATGGACAATTTCTCCAGGAAGCTAAGGCACCTCTGTGTGGCCTTCAGTCCACTGCTCCCTGGGATGGTTTGTGCCGGGGGGGGGTGCCTCCCTTTCTCCTTGTCTGAGCAGCACCGCCTGCTATTGGCGGGCCACGGACGGGGCTCCCAGACGGCTGTAACACTTACCCTCTTGGTGGTCTGTTCTTCCGAGCGACCGCTGAGCTCTGAATTCATCAGGAGTGAAAGGTCCGCAGCCCGGATGAAAATCAGGCCCCAGGTACCTCAGCGCTTCCCACCGTTCGAGTGGCTAAAGTGGGACGCCTTTAAAAAAAAATCAGTCGAGTAATTCCACTCTGGAGAAGGTTTGGTAGAGCAACTATTATAACAATATGTTCAAAATAACAAAAGAAACTAAGCCCGACAAAGTGTCTGTCTGTCTGTCTTCACTCCTGGCAAATTCTGAAACGACCGTCAGCACCCAGATTGATTCTGTTAATGAATTTTACAGCCAGTTTTGGCTAGAACAAAAGTAAGTGTTCACCCCAGCAAAAGAGCAGCTTCTGTTCCTCTGCAGAGTGTTCCCGGCGGGGGGACAAACTGATCCATGCAGCAGGTTTTGCAGCTTGGGTGAAGGCTAATGCTGCTGGCACTTCATGTGGGAAAGGATATTTGGTTTAGCACAGAATGGAAAATACTTCTCACCCTCATCCGAACTAGCATCCAAAGCACCATATCATTCAAGGCCTTCGATCGCACAAGGTTCATTTGCAAGTGCTCTAGGTGCGACTGTCCCTTGTATAACAGGGGTTGCTTTTGTGGAAGCACATGCCTAGCTCTCAGCAATTGGAGAGTCTGGGAGCATGGTTTTAAAGAAAGGACTAACATGGTCACTGCTAGCACGAGGGACGTTATGCTCCAAAAGACATTCTGTAAATCAAATTTCAGCATTGGTGATGCGATCACTCGTTTTTGACCCAGCAGATGGGAGCAAAGTTGCCCATGATTTTGACTGTCACAGCCTTGGCACCGGTCGCATGTTTCTCCACAGCAATATGTCTTGAAGTATCTTTGTATTCGCCATGACTAGCAGACAAATCAGATCTGCAACGCTCATGAAAAGCAGACGTTCGCCCTCACCTAGATTTTTGTAGAAAAGGGTGCCGGGACTGCCAAGTGTCTTTAAACAGACATAGACTTTCACTTTTGTCTTGGCCAACCCTCAGTGTCTTCATCAGTTATGGCTGTTGCTGAGTCTTTTGGGGGGTAATTTTATTTTTATTTATTTGTTTGATAATCCTGCAATTTCTGACCTATGCTCAAGTTTCAGTTTTAATCATGTGAGACTCTGCTACCGATACGATAACTCAATCCTGGCTCTGACTCATTTTAACACTCTCACGGTGTGGCCAGCTGAGGCTCTCTGAACTCCTTCTCACATTACAACTCAACTCCTCCTGGGCATGGCATTCCTGGCGGAAGTGGGGGGTCTAATGACACAGGGAGGGTGAGAGTCATAAAAAGAAACATGAGTGTAACCACCCAGTAGAAACACGTGGAGTTGTGACTTTGCGCAAGCGAAATACCGCTTTGCGGCTACGATTGCACACTCAGTTTTAATTGTATTTTCGTTCAGTCATAGTAACTGATGCTACTGTATCGTAGCAAGCTTAATGCAGGAAATGTTCTGCTTCAACCAGGAGAGAGGGTTGTGGGGGTCAAAGTGGGACAATCCCTCAAAACCCAGGACTGGTGGGAGGAACGGTGTCTCAAGTAAGGCTCCCTGAAATCAGCAAACAAAAATGTCTCTGTACTTGTACACTAAAGACAGGCCTAAAATGTGACCCGCTAAACTCATTGCACTTGTGACCCAGAGAGGATCTGAACCCAGAGCTCTAGAGAGTAATTACCCAATCACATTACCGACGCCTCGCCTGTCTCACACTGATAGATGATGAGATGATGGGGACATTTGGGGATCGCTAGCTAGATTGGGGCCTCTTTCTCAATTTCCTTACACCTTATGTAGTCACTTACATTAGTGCAAACTGGCTCACTGCCAGCGTGTCACCTCCGTTTTGCAATCGTGTAAATACTCGCCCACGGTGCAGGTCATCGGAGAACCAGGCCCAATAGCTCTGATTTGTTTGGTCTCCTGTCTCCACAGGAGCCCATATTTTAGATGAGCTTTCCAGACACACACAGAAACTGCAAAATTTGAAACAACTGCTCCTCATTAAACTCCGCTCCATGTGCTAGTCAACAACTAATTTCCTTTAACGAGCCGGGGACAAGTTTTTCACTCTTCCCTGCCAAAAAATAATAAGTCATAAATATTTATTTCAAGTGTAATTGATTAGAGTCATGATTTTATCCTTGCCTGCCAGGTTCTGAGCAATGAGAATAACTGCGGATACAGCCAGGAGACAGCTTATGGAGCACGTGGTGCTGTCCCAGTCTTTCACCCTGAAAAGAACAAGACACAAGGACTGAAAAGTGATGGTTTTTCAAATGCGGGAAGTTTCTAAGTCCATATTTGGCCACCTGAATAAATGGTCAGATCTGCCGAGGCCCTTTAGAAGCGACCTCAGTGGAAATCCTGGTGAGCAGCCGACTTATCTCAATCCCTAAATCTAGTCTCAAAGGCGCCTAAGGGAATTTGCTACTCAGCCCCCAGGGGGATCTGGGCACCCAACTCCTTTCGGAAAACCCCAGCCTTAAGTGCCTATTCATTTTAGGCACCTTTTGAAGTGATGGTTTCTGAAATCCCAACCCATCATCAGCTGAGCTGCCCCCACGGCCTTTGCATGAGACACCTTGATTCCAGTCTCACCCCCCTCCCCAGATCAGCAATATCCAGATCAGCAATACTGCCCAGTGCCTCGGTGTCTCTAGTTTTCAACCGACTGGCAGGAGCTGGATTGTCCCCATGTTCCAAGGACTCACTGAAGTTCCTGGAGTGCCACCCAAGGTCCTCAGCGTGATCTTCCCCAGGCAGCTACAGGTTGCTCCCAGTGGTCTCACAGCTGGCTGTGCCCGTCTGGCTTTGAAATGGAATCCGCAGACGGCCACACTGATTTGCTCTCCAGTCGTTCAGTCCTTTGGGCCAGATGCTAATCGCAGTTAGGCTGGACTCCCTCCAGGGGGGTCAGTGGGGTGACTCTGGCTTTGCACCATTGTAACTGAGATCAACCTCCGGCCCTTTACCAAGCTGCCATGCGAGCCGTGAATGATATTTTCAGTTCCTCTCTGAACAATGACTGTTCAGCTCAGGAGGGCCTGGAAGAGGTGTGGAACCAGCCCTACTTTCCTGGAGACAAGAGGATGCTTTCTGCCAGACACACTCGGAAACTGGAACTGAGGCAGCCCCGTGCTGCAGGCAGATCGTTCTTTGTGCCAATTTAGCAAAGCTGAAGGCAATGAAAAGAGGGTGGCTCTGGCTCTAGGCTGGGACCCAGGGTAGCTGGGTTCCCTTCCTGGTTCTTCCTGCATGACTTTGGCCAAATCCCTTTGTCTCTACTTCCTTTCTTGGAACTGGGGATAATAATCCGTCCTTTCCCCCCACACTTTGTCCGTCTTGGCTAGTTAGATCACAAACTCCTCAGGGCAGAAACTGTCTCTTACTATGGATCTGTGTAGGGCCAGGCACACCGGGGCCCTGATCCCAATCAGGGCCTCTCCACCCGGCTCCAAGACAAACAATGACTGAAACTTTGACACGTGCTGAAAATGCCATCTGGGGCACTGGCCCGTTCCACAATCCACACCCAGGGGAGGGAGACATCAGTTCTGCTGGATTTCAGGCCCACCTGAAAAGCTTAGGGAGAGAAGCTTGGAAATGTGGGTCCCAATCAGCTCTCGCAAAATACAAGAGACCAGCTGCTGCTTTTAAAAATCCTGGGCAGGGTCCACAGCGGGAGGAATTCGCCAGCGCTCTGGGGGTGTCAATGTTGCTATGCTGGTGGTTTGCACTGATTGGTCCATTTCCCCAGCTGCCCTTGCAACCAGATGGAAATGATTTGCATCCACATCACAGAAGAGAATCATAGACATGCAGGGCTGGAAGGGACCTCAAGGCATCATCAAATCCAGCGCCCTGCACTGAGGCAGGACCGGAAACCCACACCATCCTTGAGGGTGTTTGTCCAACCTGGTCTTAAAATCCTCCAATGATGGGTATTCCACAACCGCTCTAACGCTTAACTAGCCTTCTAGCTAGAAAGATTTTCCTAATACCTAACCTAAATCTCCCTTGCTGCAAAATAAACGAATGAC